AGATAAAGCAAAACAAAGGAAGTGTTGGGTCCGAACTGTCATGTGGCATTGTGTGCACCTCCACCAATCAGTCACTCCATACTTCTGCCATCCTATAGTCTCACCCAAATGCCTTTCTACTTGTTTACCCATCTCTTCAGTCCTGTTTAGTGAGCATGTCTTCTCTGCTCATGGACTCTGGGGCATCTAGGACAGTAGCTTATTGCATCCTCATGTCCTCAGAGCCTACATGGTCTCAGGACACACAGATGCTCAGTAAGTGCTGAGCGATTGACATGCTTGTCTCATTCCAGAGCTTTTCCCACCATCCACTTGTGTGCATACATAGGATGGTGGGCATGGCAATCAGGAGACCGAGAGAGAACAGAGACTACCCTAAGGGAGAATGTCTGGCACACTGATTTCTGAAGAGCTCAAATTACTGAAGACCAAAGAATGTGAGTGATTATGTGATATCTGGTCATCAGCTCTAACTCTCAACATCAAAGCCAAAGCTCTGGGCTGGGGCTGCAGCTCAGCGGTAGAGTGCTTGCCTGGCATGCACGATGCTCTGGGTTTAGTCCCTAGCAAAAAAAAAAAAAAAAAAAAAAAGCTGATGATCTTGCACTGTTCATCATGAATGTTTCTCTCACATATATCAGGCAATAATTTGATAACTGCTTCAGTGTGCCTTTTATTTTCTGTCCTGTGCTGAAATAAGGAGTGAGTTTGGAAGTAGTAGGAAATAAGCTCTCTCTTTGCAAATAGACTCCTATGACACTACTAAAAAAAATCTGCATAGCAAGCTTCATGCTAATAGCTTTCCGTTATGCTGGTCTAATGATGCCCAAGCTCTTGCAGATTCATTATGTGCCCACTTTGCATCCCCTTTTTATTACTATGCTTTTTTTTTTTAAATTAGTTCTGCTTTGGATTCAATGTATAACTTGATGGGTAACTTAAAAAGAACACTGTAGGAAGTTCTTTTACACTGTTCTCTGTAAGGTCAAGATTGTTCCTGTTAGTGCATATGACAGCTTTCATATTCCTCTGAATTTTATTTTTCCTTAAACGACATGAAAGACTTTTATTTTGGTGTCCCGAGTTAATAGTAATTTAGAAATCGCATGGATAGTCCTTGGACTTAGTTGCATATTAAATCTATACTAGGGTCTTGTAATGCTCAAGAATATTTTACAGAGTCCTGGAAATAATTCGTGGAATGAGAAGGTGGAGAGCCCTGGACACTCACATGGTAGAGATGGCATCATTTAGTATCTTCATATTGGCTCAAACACAGCAGCCTGAATTTCTGCTTTTTTATTTCTAGTTTAGATCATTTCCTGAACCGATGTTGTAATTTTTTTACTATCTGTATGAGGATTTCAATGAATCCATTCAAAGAGGGGACTCTCTAGAATCTATGGATATGACTAAAGTTAGCGCCCGGTCCGCCTGCAGGCCTCACTTGCCTGGTAATCTCAGAAAACTGCTGATACTTGAATGACTGAGCCCAGGGTCCTTCAACCTTTCTTTGTTTTCAATGCTTGCTACCAAAATGTATAGCAGTAGGTGTTCTGGGGCATATGAGATGAACTTTCAAAATGTAATAATTCATGGCCAAAAGAAAAGGGGGTCTTGGAATGTACCCATACAAATAGCAACAGCATTTCCTCCTTTATCTCTTTTCCAGCACAAGCATGACTTCATCGTGAAATCCAGGTGCACGGTCCTGATGTCACTCTGTCTTTGGTTACCACAGAAAGGCAGTCTATCCCCCAAAGCCAGAGAATGGAGTACATTGCTTCTATAAGCCATTTACTAAGTCAATACGCCAAGCAATGACTACATCTTTCTTTCTAATATGCAGCAGTATTATGCATTTAGCAGTATTATTCCTTCAACAGATGTGTCTTTTCATAGTCTTCTTCCCTTCTTAGAAACCTCGAGTTTTTCTTAATTGTGTGCTTATAAGCTGCAACGGCTTTGAAAGGTATTTCTGAACACACCCTGGCATCGTTCCATGCTGAGAGCTGAGTGACATGAAAACCCCAACATCATCGGGAACGGGAGCAGCGAGCTCCTCACATCAAGCACTCAATTAGCTTGTATTCTTTGAATAAATATGCTGTGCAGCCGATGCAGTCCTCCTCAGTGCTTTGATAGCCGACGCTTTGGAAACACCTGGAAGTTACTCGAATGTGTCTTTATTAGAAGTACAATAGGTAAGCAAGGAGCCCTTCACAGGCGGTCAACAGACTGTACAATGTGACAGCGAAGACACTGAAGGTCATGTCCGATTCCCTCCACATTAGTGTTCTGAATAACTAGGCATGTTAACCAGTGTTTTGCTCAGCACTTCCATTTATCAATAATAGGAAGCATTCACAAAGAATCAATATCTGAAGCACAACAGGCAACTACTAAACTTTAATGATTTCCTCAATGCTGAGTGTTAACAAAGGAAAACCCTGCTATTATATTTTTTTGAAAGGCACCAATGGTAGCTGGCAACCAAATTGATACTATTTTTTTTTCTTACTAAAAGTATAATAAGCTCTTGGGTCACCTTCAAAATATGGTCACATTCTTTCCCTGGAGTAGAGTTACCATGGGATCAAGTGACTGAGAAGGCTCAGAGAGGAAATAAAATGACTGCTCAGCAGGAACAGTGTGGCACTGCCATCCTCGCCTGCGTCTCTGCCCATAGCAAGGTCATGGAGATTCAGCGTGAGCCCAAGTGGTTCCACAGCAGCACACACTAACGGGCATGACCTTGGCACATGCCAGAGTCTGTCTGACAGCTGCATGTGCTTCAGCGAGAGCTCAGTAAGTGACCTGTCCAGTTCTGCAGGAGAAGCCTCGCCCTCTAATTTCCCACTGAGTCAGGAGGTCAAGTAAGAATTTCACTGATGTTTTTAAATAGTCTTGGCTCCAACCGGCGAACGTGGGTGAGGATTTTGGAGTGTGCCTGTGTGTGCCTGGCAGGGATCTGCAGGTCTCCAGCTGCTGCTGGAGGGGGGAATTTTAGAAGAGACTTCTTTAGCTGCCTGCAAGTGATGTCGGTGAAGTCTCTTTGCAACGGTTCAACAGAGGAGCTCGTGCACAAATGTGCAAATGGAACTATGGTATCTGATGATAACAGCAGGAATTGGCTTCTTTCTTTTATAGATAGGATAATTGACTTTGGGGTCTGTTGGGAGAGAGCACTTGCTCCTATGAATAAGTTATTTGGACCCCCTTTGAACAGCTCTTAGAAAAAGTGAGAAGGCAGCTGAACACTACAATTGCCTAACTACTCATTATCCCTGCCCTTGGCTATTTTTTCCAAATGGGGCAAGAGGAGGAAGGGGAGGAACTAGGGTTAGTTGGCTGCTGTGAATGAAGGGTTTGACTGATTCATCCCAATGGTGTTCTTTGCTTAGTGAGATTTTGGCACTTGGGCTAAGCTGCACCACACAGTGTATCATTGTAGCCTCACCCCGTTGGTCCTCTCTTTAGCAGGGATCAAACTTTGCCACACATGAAAGAAACCCATGTGGACCTGTCTCCTTCACTGACCTCGAGCTCCTTGGGAGAAGGAACAGGACGTTATTCCTCTCGGGTTCCCAGGCCAGGGTCCAGATGGGGGAAAGTGCTGATAAATGTAAGTTTAATTGGATTAAACTAAAAGTATTAAGATGAAGTTATCCAAGTTTTGGCTGCAACCCCAAATCCTAAGTCTTCCTATTTTTTGTTGTTCGGTATATTCTGCAGACTAATGTGGAAAAAAAAAAAAAAAGAACAGAGCAATTGGCTCTTTGGGAGCTGAAGATTCTGTATCTTCTTCAATGCTACCTTTTCATTCTAAATTTTTTTTAACCCTAAATGAATACTAATGTCTTAGGGGCCTTGGCTGCTGTGTGGCAGTAAGATCCAATGACTCTGGGTGCACGAACCCTGCCATTGCTTGCCTGATATCTGCGTTGAACTACTTACTTAAGCTGTGTACTTTGAAAATAAAAAACAAAGTAAGTTAAATGTTTTTACAGAGACTTTTGTCCAAAAGATCTTTTAAATGTCAATAAATTCATTTTGTAAATGTCCACATGTAAAATCCAAGTAGCAAATATTCTCCTTTTTTGCATTTTAAAAGGGTACTTATTTCCCTGCCTCTTTTGGCCAGTGCCCCCACCTCTACACACACACACACACACACACACACACACACACACACACACACTGATTAGCTTATCTCTGAGAAGGCAAATCCAGGAAGGGAGAAAAGTGGAATTATAATGGGGTGATTTGATTACGGGCTAGTATCTTTAGCAAAGCCATGCAGAGAGAGGATTGATGGTGGGAAAGGGATGGGAAAGAAGGTTGAAACTACACACTGAAATCAGTTCAGTTTTATTATCTGAAAGTCATCATGCCACCCCTGTTACTCACCTCCAGACACAAACACGAGCAGTTTTAATTACTACCTTTTAGGCATGTTTTAAAGGAAAAATTCCTATGACTGTTTCCCCAGCACTTGAAGGGAAGGCTCTGCCTGTTTTGGTCCTTGACAACGTGGAGCCCAGCTCCCCCTTGCCCTTTGGTCCCAAGTCATGCTCAGAGACTGACATAGAATTTGTCTTGCTTCTTGCCACCTGGTCGCAGGTGGCCAATACAAGGGTAGAAACCATCTGAAACCGAATGATTACCATTGCTTCATACTGGACACACAGTGCATACTTAGTAAATATTTTGACTTTTGAATTACATCAAATCCCGATCTGTTATTCACTCTACCTAGGGCTGAATCTCATTGCTCCTTAGAAGAACTAGATCAATTGGTTCTCCTTAGTGAAAACCAAAAGCCTGCTTCAATTTTTTGTTTAGAAGGAGATGGACATAACATCCTGGAGGTTACTGTGAACCCCTCCCATGGATGGATGCTCGACAGCAATACAGCAAACAGTAACAAAAGCATTGATAAATACCAACAGTTGGAGAAGGCAGCTTAGACTAGAGGAGTACCCCAGTTGACAGAATCCAGATGAGCTGGCTCCGAGTCTCGCCTTTGGTGCCCAGTCAGCTGTGTTTTTTGTCCTTCAGGTAGCTGAAGAGCATCTCCAGGCCTCCCTCCACCAGCTCCGGCAGGGGCTTGGATAAAGGGTTGTGGGAAATGTGGAGCCCTTTGTCCATGGGATTCCAGGCAATCCTTGCCAACCTGTTCAGCAGGTAGAGCTCCTCCGGGAGGGTCTGGATGTCATTGTTGTTTAGGTTCAGCAGCTCTAGGCTCGCGATTAGGCAAAGTGACCTCGGGAAGGAGTGGATGTTATTGCTCTCGGCAATGAAGATCTGCAGGCTGGCCAGGCACTGGATGCTCTCGGCGATGTTTTCCAAGCGATTTGAGCCCACATGCAAGAAGTCCAGCTCCTTCAGCGAGAACACACAGATGGGGATATGCGCAAAGTAGTTGTTGCTGAGGTTCAGCTTCTTCAATCTGGAGAGGTCAGAGAAGCTGGCGGGAAGCTGGGACAGGCAGTTGTGCGACAAACTCAGCACTTCCAGGCTTCTGCACAGGCTCAGCTCAGCCGGCACCTCGGTCAGGCAGTTCATGTTGACAAACAGGACTTTGAGGCTCTGGAGGAGGCTGATTTCTCTGGGCAGACTCTTCAGGCGATTGCCACACAAATTGAGGACCACGATGTGGGTCAGTTTCCCCACCTCGGGAGGGAGAACCCGGAGCTGGTTATGAGACAGATTGAGTTTCTGGACCTCGGACAAGCCCCACAGAAAATCTGGGATGTCCGTCATCCCTTTGGTGACCAAGCTGAAGCTGACGTGGCGCATACCCCGCTTCAACAGGGACCGCGGGTCCTTTCCCAAGAGTAGGGTATCATCCCATGAAGAAAACCTCTGTCTCCTCCCCAGGAGCATCTTCTTGGGGTCCTTGTCCTTGGGGTTGGCCCTTGACTGCCTCGCCCCCATAGTGTCTTCCTTGCCCCTCTCTCTTCTCTGCCACCTTCAGGGTTGAGAGTTTGTCCTGCCCCAGTTGCAAAAAGCCAGACTGCTGCAGGCAGGGGCCGTATGGTGACAGCAGACTTGTGACCAGGAGGTCGCAATGTGGAGAGAACTGACAGGAGAGTCCCGGTGAGACTTTGCTTGTGTCCAAGACTGGTTCCTGGGTGGCTCCCGGAGAGCTGTGCCTGTCCCCAAGGGTGGGTTTTACACAGTTTCTGTCTGAGCAGGCAGGCTGTAATGATATACTTGTCCCTGAGGCTTCCAAACAGAACTACTCAGTTCCCTCTGAATGCCACAAGGCAGCTGTCACTGTCACTCTGCCTGAGTTTTATTGACCTGGTATGTGCAAACAGGTCACAGGGTGGCTGCATATAACTTTACCCTCTCAGCTTTTCTTGAGTATCACAGTTGAGCAAGGCGAATAACAAGCCCATTTCTAAAAAAGAAGTGAAACTGAAAAAAACAAAGCCATCCATGCCAATAGCAGTCTGCAGGGTTGTGGGAACTCACCCTGGACAACTCAAAAGTGTGACCAAGTTAGGTCTAGTGACACAGCTGAGTGTCCAAAGCTAAAGATCATCAGATGGTGTCATCATCCCCACTGCAAATGCTGAAGAACCGTGTATTTGTGGGAAAGTAACAAAAGCAGCCCAGACACTTGGAACCTCAGGAGCAAGAGGATTTTACACTACAACTTGTCAGAGGTGATTTAATGAGGAGGGTGTAAAGAAGGGTCTAGACCTCCAACTCCTGTTTCAGCCTGGTTCTTCTGTTTCCCAGGGGCCTCTGTGAGTTTTGCAGGATAATTCTAAATTCTAAATGCTTAACGGGCATTTAAAGCCTTAGTAATCATAGGCGCCCATTGTCCCAGAAGGATATGTGAATTCTACCTGGCTACATCTTTCTCTCTCCTAGAAAAAGTTAACTTATACCTCAACTCAATTGTTGGTGTTATGGGCTGGGATACATCACCCCACTGCAAATGTGTCATGTTGAAATCCTAACTCCCAGTGCCTCAGAATGCGACAGTGTTTGGAGGTGGGCATGGAAGACACAAGGTGAAGACCACCATCTGCAAACCAAGGAGAGAGGCCTCTAAAGAAACCAATGCCAGATCTCAGGCTTCTAGTCTTCAGAACTGAGAGAAGTTAATTTTTGTTGTTTGAGTCTGGTACTTTGTTCTAGCAGCCTTGGCAAATTAACCCAGCCGGGAAGGGGACAGACACTTGTGTAGGTGAAAAAATTCTAAAAATAGGCAGTGATTAAAGAGAGAAGAAAAAGCAAGGTGATGACATGGGTTCTGAGAAAAGGGCTGGTGGTCCATGTCCGGGGCTGATTTGGCCCGGAAGCATGTGGGTTTTGCTGGCAGCTGCACTGGAGAGTAACGCTGCTCTGTGCCCCTGACCTTGAAGAACTATCTACCAGCCCAGGAGCTCCAGCTGGTCCTTGGCTGGGTGCAGCCCAGGAACCTGTAAGTCCAGCTCCACTGAGGGGGTGTCTCTGGGTAGGAGGAGTGGCAGAGGGTGCACTCTCTCTCTCCACTTGGCATTGAAACATCTGACCCCTTTGGACTGAGTCAGTCCCAGAATTCTTGGATAAATGTGAAAATATCAGAAGTTCCCCCCTGCCAGGGGCATTTAAGTGTTTTAGCTATTAACCAGACCTAAAATAATAATAATAATAATAATAATAATAATAATAATGCTAAAATTTGTACCCTAAGTTTTTAGAGCAAAGCACACCTTGTCTACATAAATTTTCTAAGACAATACAGGTCTACTGTTAAAGAAAAAAAGTTTCACTTCCTCTTTCCTTACTGAACATGAGAAGTTGTACTGGAGTACCTGAAACATGAGGAGTGGCAGGAGCTGAGATGTTCTGAGGAAGAGGCAAAAGCTTTTTTTTCAATTTTTTTTGTAGTGATTATTTTTCTCTTTTCTTAATACATTTTCCCAGTAAATATTTTTGAGCACTTATTAACAGTCAATAACTATTAAATGTTTACTTTGCGAAAGTAATCATAGAATTGCTTTATTTTCAGGATGGGTATTAAAATTCTCTCTATTTTATAGATGAAAAAACAAAGAGAGAGGTCAAGTTACTTATGCAGAATCAACTCAGTTGTTCAAGGTCAAGTGAAGAGTCAATGACAGAATCAAACCCTGTTAGTCCAAGCTGGGAACCACAAGAAGACTCTTGGCTTACACCTGTAGACTTAAAATAACTGAAAAGGACATAGTTCCTTATTTTCAAGTGCTTTGGGGTAGGGCTACTTCGTACGTGGAAATTAAAGCATAATTAGTCATTAACCGCACTCACTCTATCACCAACACAACCAAGAAGAGTAAAATTAAGAGTAGTAGATTTTGATTCCTTCCAAAAATATTTCTGCTATTCTGCAGTGTGGTTCTCAAGTATCAAATGGATAAGCTGTGTAAGTAGCTGATTTGGTTTCTTCTAGCTTTTTGAAATGCAAATACTGTCCACTTAGTCAATCATGGTTATGCAGTCAGAACATAACTCACCTAGGGGACGTTCGTTGTTTGGGGCCTCCGTTTCCTCATCTATGAAATGGGACTGTCTGGAACCCCTGAATTGCCTAAAGCTCCTGTCTACTCTGTGAATCTGATTCTCACTATAAACAGGACTTCTGTGGAGAATGAAAGCTCACATTTCATCCTTTTGGGGCAGAAAGTACATAAAATTGGAGACAACTTTCATTTTGGTAACTTTGATGTTGATTTCTGGGGAATAAATAGCAATAAGGAATGGTATATTTTGCTAGCAGAAACTCCTCAAAGCTCTCTCAATGGGAGGGACAAGCCTCAAAATAAAGCACCGTTGAACCATTTTCTGAAATTCCAAGGCCTGGTTAGGAATGTGATTGTCTTTAAAACCTAAGGCAGCTATAGAGTAATTGAAACACACTGAGATAGGCCCAATGTGGTGGCTGCATTTTCCAATTGATTATTATTCCAAAATATAAAAGTTAACATAGATTGTTTCTTTAATGCTAAGTAAAATAAGACTGAAATGATAAATATAAAAGAAGGGCTTACGAAGACATCTGAAGCTACTCCTGAATTCACGATAAGAGAGTGTCTATTAAAAACAATTCTCTCTATTCTCACAATGACTTTTCAGCATGCATCCACACACCTGTTAATTTTAGGAGAAAGAATATGTATGTTCAAGTACTTTATTGAAAGAATCCTTTCACTAACTAGAATTTTTTAATAGAAAAATATATAAAAAGATAGAATCAATCCAGTACATATTTTCATATATAAATTTACATCTTTTTCCTATGCATATCTATCTCAATCTTTTATAATTAAAAAAATCCATTGTAGCCAGTGCTATGGTTTGCATATGGTGTGACCACAGGCCTCCATGTGCTGGAAGCTTTGTCCCCAGAGTAGAAGTATTGGGAGTTGGTTTGGAATCTTGAGGCGATGGGCCTGGTAGAGGTCAGTTGAGGGTACTTCCCTGGGAAAAGGATTGAAGAAGTTCTCCAAGGGCCTTTGGTAGTTCTGTAGGGAGTTGTAATAAAAGCCAAGTCTGCTCCACCCCCCAGCTCCCTTACTTCCTACCTTACCATGTGATTACTTGCTGTTGCATGCTTTCTCTGTTGTCATCCACTATGATGAGATGCATTCAAAAGGTCCCTCATCAGAACTGGGCACCATGCCCTTAAACCTCCAAAAGTGTGAGCTAAATAAACCTCTTTCCATCATTACTCTCCTGTCTCAGGTATTTCCTTATAGCAAGGAAAACCTGACTCATACAACCAGAGCTTATGGCAAAAGCTTCTGAGACTAATGTTTTCTTAAGGAGCACAACCCCAGGTAAGCAACAGAAAGGGGGAGTTTGGAAGTAGGACAAGGAAGGAGAGCAATAAGTAATGCAATCTGAGCTGGTCACATCTCTTTCACCAAGCACAACAACCTGTTGCTAGCTTTTGCCAACATCTACAGAGATGCCATATTAAACCACTGTGACTCAGAACAATCCATGTCTAAGCATCCTAAAAGTCATACAATAATAAACCCCAAAGTATATTATTAAATTTCTCCAACTCATGATTATTAGTGATGGTGGATGGTAGGATCTCAATAAATGATATTTGTTCCAAAAATGGTAATTATCATACACATGGAGTCCCCTACCCATGCCCATATGCATGCCTCTAGAGTTATTTAAGGAACAATCTCTGTGTGTTTGATTTTCTTTTGTCCTGATCATGAACTTCACATTTTATTGAAGGTCAATCAAACCTAGAGCTATGATGCTTCCTGCATTTATCTTGCATTCACTTTGTATTTACCGTGTCTTTAGTTAATGTCCACAGTTGTTTGGGATCCTTTCATATGTTTTATCTGATACTCATAAGACTTAGAAGGTTGCTATTATTAACTTCATGTAAATACAAGGAGGCCAGGCTTCCGTGGGGTTAAATGATCTCCAAGTTACAAAACTAGTTAGTGTCAGTGCAGGGTCAACAATCAGGTCTTCTGATTCTGACTCCTGTTCTCTCTTTACCATGTGAATACCATGTTCTCCTGCAGTTATTATTTTTTTTTTGTCTTAGTGAAGTGGCCTATTATTATTCTGATTAAAGTAAGCTTCTAGCACATAGCCTGTAGGTTAGCAGCACAAGCTCTGGTTGCCTTACAACTTGGGTTTTAATCCTGGATTTGATACTTAAATGCTGTGTGACCTAGGGCAAGCTACTTAGTTCATCTGTGCTCTGATTCTTCAGATATAAAACTGAGATGATAATAGTACCTATGGTATAAGGTAGCTGTGGGAATTGAATGACTCAATACATAGAAAACACATAGAGCAGGGCTCCCTGCACAGCCAGGATACCTGATGAAGCATGAAGAAGATGGTCAATTCCGTGGCTGTCCCTGGGCGCTCTGGGCTGAGCACCTTCACTAGCACAGGGCGAGCTTGGTTGTTTTCTTCCCTATGGTCTTTCTCATAACCACCC